ATGATCAAGATCGATCAAAGCAAGTTTCAATCAAGGTTCAAACATGCATGGTAAGGCCCTCTTCTTTTATACAAGCATAATGTGCTAAAAAAGGGATTGCTCACTTTCCAAAGGCTTAATCAACCACCCATTCCAGGAAATCCAATTTAGGTATTACAGAGTGGTTTAAAAGCAACATAATATGGAATGGATGGCCCTGGCTTTGTTGGAATTCAAATATCGTATTATGAAATGGTTTTAAAATCTTCTTTAGTGTTGGCAAACCACTCCCCTTTGAGCAGTTTAGGTTACTTATAGGAAATACTTGAGTTCGAAAGTAATCCTAAGGTAATACTTGAGTTCGCAAGCAAACCGAGTCGAAATTAGTACAAAAACAGAGAGAAAAACTGCTGTCACGGTAGAAAACAGCACCCACGCAGCAGGTCTTGCGCCAAAACAGTGGAAAATAGGGAGGGGAAACAAGGATTTCACTAGTAGATGCAAGAAAACAATACAAGATACAATGTTCTTCAATTCGAGAGGAAGAACAACTCTCCAAAACTCTCTAGCAAAGCCTAGAGCCCAAAACCATGAAGAGATCTCAAAATTTCAGCAAATCTCAAGATGAAACCCTAACTCACACCTTAACTCCTAATTAAAGCAAAAGGACTAAATTAAAATCCCTAAACAGCCCCTTAATTCAAATTTCCCTCCTAAAGCTCATTACATTAAGTGCTTGGGCCCACAAGGACTATCGAACCCCCCCCCCCCCCCCCCCCCCCCCCCCCCCCCCCCTCTCTCCCTGCTCTGATTCCGCAACAAGTGGGGCCGCCTGGAATAAAAGAGGAACCGACCCCCCCAGGCCAGCGGCATAACAGTTACGCTTGGAACACTCCATATACGCAAGAGTTATGTAATTATAAAGAATCATTGAAAGAATTAAATTATTATTGTGCTTGTTTGCAAATGCCTTGGGAAGTGCCTAAATGGCTTCTTCTTCCTTTCAAGGATTTTCATGTGTCGTCTTGTATCTAATCGAATAGACGATTAGGAAGACTAAGAATACTTTCTATAAATCTTTTTTCCTTTCATTTTTACCATCCTTGCTTTGTCTTATGTTTTATTCTTTTGTATCTTTGTGCTTACTACAACTATTATTATGTTGAAAGAGGTTTGGTGGATCCATTATCCAATATAAGTTATTTAGTAACCGGATCGGACCGGCCGTTTCAACCATGAACCGATCAGGTGGCCGTTGCGATCCAACCTACAAAACCAGCTTCGCATCGAACGGGATCAAATAGGATTGTAACAGCAGTTCAACCTGTGAACGGCTGAACCGGTCAGAGTTGGAAAGAACCAGCCGGTTCTATTAAAAAAATTATTTTTATTTTAATTAAATTTTAAACAATATATTTTAGTTTATTAAATTCTTTTAACTTTTTGCACTTAAACATATAATCATCTTTCATTTTCTTTGAAGCCTATATATAATATTATAATTAGATATCTCATGTTCTACCAATATATATAACATAAAGTTAGTTTTTATAGCTTCATAATAATGTTCAAAGAAGCTCAGGTAAAATTGCAGCATTATCATCATTGAACTACATTAAGGTCATAATGCCTCTATCGGGATCCCTTTTGCCCCCACTTATGCAGGTATTATAGCATCTCTTTGTCAACCATCAACTAATATGATATTCATTATTGAATGGTCATTAGATGCTTTATGGCTTAATATAAAAGACATACCTAATATAATGCTTGCATAAGAAGAATAAGAAAACAATAATTAACTCAATATTTTTATTTTCAAAATGTTGCCAATTAGGAAAACATTTACATGATTATATGGTACTACATTTTAAGTTTGAACTCTTAAAATTTACATGTGTTCGTACATACTTGATTTTTTTACTATAGACCCACTTAACTGAGTTTAACTCGAATGCACTTTACTCTTTGTTTTGATCAATTACAAGTGTACATGCCTAGAAACGAGAGAATTTACTTTTTAAATTAAAATTGCATTTCTTACCCCCAAGACGAATGCCTCCTTGATTTTGACATCTCGTACCTTTTTTCGCATTAGGTAATGCATTAGTGTTGTGCTAGTGCTGAAATTAATTAATTAACAGTAATTAATTTATTGTTAACAGAAATTAGAATTTAATAATTAATAGTTTTAATTGATTGTTAACCATAATTAAGAGTAATTATAATTTAAACTTTAGGAAAAAATAAAAACTAAAAATTAATGTGAAAATTTTCACACATTTACGAAGAAATTAATATTTTGGGTATAGTTTAATTAAGAAATTGTTGTATTTTTACCTAAAACTTTTGGGTATTAAAGAGAAGAATGCTGGCTGTTCTTAGGAGAAAACGAAGGGAAGAACAGATGTTGGCTGCTACTGTGGAAGAAAAGAAAGGGAGCCACCGAGCCACCACTTGGAATACATTCCATAATACAAAAAAGAAAACTAGAGAGATAGAAACCAAACTCTCATTTATATTTATCAAGGAAAAAATTGATTGCAAATGAAGGAGGGACTCCTGTTTATAGAGCTGAACCACCCCTCCACCTCTGCGTGAATAGTATAACTACTTAATTGATTAAACATAACCCACTTGGTTGGGTTTGCTGAACCAACCGATATTGGGACAGCTCTAGCGTCATTCCCCCCACTAGGCGATGCTTCTGGATAATCTGAAGCCACTAGTTAGTAGGGTCTTGGGTGCAGAGTAGTATAAAGGTTCAACTTTCTACCATAAGGATGGATACCATATTTTCATACCTTTAGTCATATGTCTTGCCTTGGGCAGTTCACCTTGTTCTGAATATATTATGACGAAGTCATTCATTCTCTTTTTCATATTGTACACTTACAAGGCGGACAACTAATAATTCACCCTCATCTTTAGGTAAGAGTTGTTCTTCCATTGGTTCTTTAACTTCTGGAACCAAGGAAGTGTTGTTTTCGCCTGGTGCTTCTTCTACTAAGATTACCAACTGCCTTGTAGGATAATTGGATGCAAAATGTCCAAAACCATGGCAATTGAAACAATTGCGAATGGGGATAGAGGTTGTGAAAGCCGGTGGAGGAGGTTCAATAGTTCAATCAGGTGTTCTTGCGGTTTCAGGTCATCAGACAATAATAGGACCCAGTGCCAGAAGTACTCCCAGCCCTGTTCGATTGCTAAAATTATTTTTCACAGTTTGTTGTTGTTTTTCTAAGTTGAGAACGAGGTTGATGACATCGTTGATTGTCCAATATGATTACATTTGTACCACATTGGCAATGGATGGGTTTAAACCCAAGAAACTGAGCTATGGCGTTCTGTTTAGGTTCCACCAAGTTACATTTCAGCCCTAACTATTTGAATTCAGCCGCACAACCTTCCACTGAGAGTTCTTATTATTGATGATTGGGTAACTAGAAAAATATATATTGGCGATAACGTGCCAACAAAAATTTTCACCACATTTCTCTCATCATTTTATCCCATGAATGGATCTAGGTTTTCCCTTCACATTGTTTTGATCACTTCAAATTCTCCAACAACAAAAAGGCATTTCCTTTTAATTTGATGGCTATCAATTTAACAATGCGTCGAGAGGTACCTCTTTGTATTCAAGAGTTCGTTGTATTCAAGAATTTGCTCCACGGTGTGTAGCCAATTGAGAAATTCATCCGAATCCAATATTCCTTCAAAGTCTGAAATCTTGAGAACACCTCAAGGTTCTCGCCTAAAATAGCAAAGAGATAGTTCCTCCTCAAGCTTCTTGGTGAAAAAGATTCTCCTTCTCCGCTTGATTTTCTTCATCATTCTGGCATTATGTAGGATGGCATAGTTCCATCACAGCAAGCTTTTCTTGAAGTTGGTTAATCTCCCTTTATAATTCTTTCATGGAAGGTTCTTGAATTGGTCTTGGATTTGGCTATTCTTGGCAGTATTCTTGCGGTAAATTGACTGGCTCTAATATCAAATGACATCCGAATAGGTGTGAACAAGGAAAATCCAAGAAAGAACACACAAACCTGAAGGAGAAGGGGGAAGACAGCCTAAGAGATCCACTGGAAGGGCAAGAATTCCTTGCTCCTGCTGTTGTCGGCAGTTGAACCAGAAGGGTGTCGATGCCCAGATGACTGCAGCACTGCAGGGATGATTGACAGGCATCCAGCTGTTGCTGGCAGGCTTGGAGGAGAAGAATTCTAGCTGGTTCTTAGGGGAAAATGGAGGGAAGAACAGAAGTTGGCTGCTGCTGTGGAAGAAGACAGAGAGGTGGCCGCCACCTGGAATACATTCCAAGATACAGAAAAGCAGAAACCAAACTCTTCTTTTCAATTTTCCAGGAAAATGTGATTACAAATGAAAGAGGGACTCCTATATATAAAGATGAAATCCCACCCCACCGCATCATTTGTAATCAATTTCAATCCTCCAGGAAAATGTGTTTGGTTGCTGCTGGCGGGCCTAGAGGAGAAGAATGCTGGCTGAGTGGCTGCTCTTAGGGGAAAACGGAGGGAAGAACAACAGTTGGCTGCTATTGTGGAAGAAGAGAGTTGGACAACACCTAGAATACATTCTAGTATACAAAAAAAAAGAAAATGAAAAGTAGAAGCCAACTTCAAGTAAATAAAAATTGTTTCCGCCCCCCCTTCTCTCTCGTTAAGGAAGCATCCCGAAATCATGAATCATTTGGAATGGGACTTGAATATATTCCAAAATATTCAACAATGTCAAAACTGCCTTCATCATAAAAAAAAAAATCATTAGTTGGATGAGCTAGCATCAGCAATAAAGCGTGGCCTGTTAATTAACGTTAGAGAAACATCACTTTTGTCAACCAAAATTCAATGTCTTAAACAAAGCACACTCAAATTGAGGAACTCTGTCAAAAAGAATGAGATAAACTTCATTCAAACACAAAGTATAATGCACTTGAGAAATATCACTGTATGTGGTCGTAACATCTAATAAACGTCACAGAAGCGCTATAATCACCATACCTTCTTGATCTATATCATTATAGACCTCAATGAAATCGCCTCCACACATTGAAAAACCTTCAGTGATCCCTGCACTATTTAAAATACAATAGGTTCTCGACGATAAGTTGACACACAAAGTGTAGAATTGTTCTACTGAATAAAATGAACAGTCAATAAAAAAAAGCAGAGAAGATGATAGGACAATCAATCTATTAGTTGTTCTCCATCGATGATAAAGCATGACCACAAAGTAGAGGATAGGAGACCAAGGTGTCTATGCGTGGCTGCGTGCAACCCTTTTTTAGTAATGAGTATATTGTTCTTTATCCAAGTTATTATATATAACACAACAAAGGTACAAGATCCAACGGTAGTGCTTCTCCAAGCCAATTCAAGGATTTAAACTAGAACTAGATTAAAAGATTAAAATTTTAGGATGCAATATGCCAAAACTATGTTAGACAACTGTTTTAAGTGATGAGGTTTGATGAAATAAGATTTTTGTTCATCAAAAGTAACGTCAACAGATACAAGAGTTTTTTTGGTGGATGGATGCATAGTTGTCAATGGCGCAAAATAGCGCGCGCCATGGCGCACGGCGCGGCGCGACGCACCTACGGCGCCATGTTCATGGCGAGGCGCATGTGTTTAAGATAGCGCGCGCTATTTGCGCCACATGTGAGCCATGGCGCATTGCGCACGGCGCAAAATAGCGCGCAAAATTTGTTTTTAAATTTTGGTATACTTATGAATATTTTTATACCGCTCGGTACTGCTAGTTACATGCTCTGTACCGCTCGGTACAGCTAGGTACACACTCGGTACTGCTAAGTACACGCTCGGAATCGCTAAGTACCGCTCTGTACCGCTCGGTACATGCTTTGTACCGCTCGGTACATGCTTTGTACCACTCGGTACAGCTCGGTACAACTAGGTACATGCTCAGTATTGCTAAGTACATGCATGATACCGCTCGGTATTGCTAAGTACATGCATGATACCGCTCGGTACCGCTATGTAAATGCTCGGTACCGCTAGTTACATGCTTTGTACCACTCGGTACAGTGATAGAAATAGGTATAGATACGGTATACCGCTCCCTAATATTATACAAAACGAACTTCAAAATTTCTCTACAAATAAATTTTGTTCCGGGGGCAGGCAGAACCCCCGCAAAGGGCGCTGCCCTTTGACCCGCCAACCTAAACCCGGGCAGGTCGAACCCCGCCCAGGGCAGTGCCCCTTGGACCCCGGCAGGCCACATATTATGTTTCTTGGACAATATTATGTTTCTTTTATCTAAATTTGTTTGCTTTTAGGTGATCATAAATGTCAGATTCATGTTCTTATAGGATTATGAAGTAGCGGTACCAGAGGGTGATGAAGAGGATTGAAGCTTTTTTAACATTTGGCTGATTGATGATGGATTCCCAAGAAGAGTAGATTAATTTTATTTGATCTTAAAAAAAAAAGATTCTAGTATTTGAATTATGAGATATTTGAATGTTAGTTAGTCGAACTTATATATGTTATGGTTGTCTTTTATTATTATGATAGCTTGTCTTCATTTTTAATAATATTCAATATTCATGCTTATTATTTTATAATTTTTATATAGCTTGCGACCTATGTTCAAAATAGTGCGCGCCGCGTTGTCGCTATGCCGCCATGGCTCCAAACTGGACCTTTGCGCCATAGTGCCGCCATTCGCTGTTAACAGGTTGTATGGATGTGATGATAACAATTATAAATTTTTGAGTGGATGAATATCCAACTAGAGCCTGTCAATTCGGGTCACGGTCGGTTCCGGGTCGACCCGGAATTGACGGGCACTATTCGGGTTCGGGTCAACCCGACCCGTTTTTCACAAACGGGTCATTTTTCCGGACCCGCACCTGACCCGCTTCGGTTTGGTTTTTCGAGTTCCTCAGCGGGCGATGCAGAGGCGGTCAGGCAGGTGGCGGACTGCACACAGCGACGGGCGGATTGCGGCGCGAGGGTGCGCGGCGGCTGCAGGGTGCAAGGCGGCCCGATGCAAGCTGCAACGCGGGCGAACGAAGCGCCGGAGCGGTCACGCGACGCCATGTCACGCGTGGCGGCGTGGGGCTCGATGCGGGCAGTGGCCACTGGCCAGTGGGGCAGGGGGGCAGCCCGTGTACGCGTGGGGCAGAGCAGGGCAGCCGGGGCACGAGGCACGGGGCAGGCGGGCAGATTCGGGCAGGTTCGATTTCAGGGTCATTCCGGGTCATTTTCGGGTTGTCGGGTCAACCCGAACCCGACCCAGTTTTGCAAACGGGTCGATTTTCCGGACCCGAACCCGACCCGCTTCGGGTTCGGGTCAACCCAAACAGGAAATTTTCGGGTTGGGTCCAATATTGACAGGTCTATATCCAACAAAGATACATTTGAGTACTCTTGGATCTAATTTTTCTCTATTTTGACAATGAATATGAACATAGGAAGTGCAAATATTATGGGTGTGACATTGTTATGGGTTTAAAATTCTGGGTAAAAAGAGGACAGAGTATTCATTAGTGTTTTTAGTGCCAAGGTTGTTGAAGGTAGTCGGTTTATGAGATATGCAGCGGTCAGAAAACCTTCCCCCCAATAAGATTTGTGTACATTGTGGTGGAATATAAATGCATGGGTGGAGGCAAGAAGATGACTATTTTTTTCTTTCTACAACTCCGCTTTGTTGTGGGGTATTAATGTAGGAAGACTCATGAATGATACCTTCTTTTTTAAAGTAGGAGGGTAGAGTTTAGTTAAAATACTCTTTTGCATTGTCAGAACAAAGTTTTCTTATTTTTATCCCGAATTGATTTTGTATCATGGTGTGAAAAATGGAAAGGATAGTGCTTACATCAGATTTATTTTTTAGGAGAAAGATCCAAGAGAATCAAGTGTGCAGTCATTAATGAAGGATGCAAACCATTGGGCCCCTGAGATGTCAGAAATTTTTTATGAGTTCCCAAATATCACTATGAATAAGGTACAAAGGGGAATGACATCTCTCAATTTTATTTGGAAAAGAAACTCATTTATGCTTGGCTAACTCAAATGTTTCACAATAAAAATATTCATTTTCCAACTTATAAAAAAGTTTTTGATGCATATTTTTTAATGCATCAAAAGATGGATGTCTTAATCTAAAATGATGAAGTAAAATAATAGATTTTTGTATTAATTAAGAATAACATAGAATAGCCATTATTGATAATGGTGGATTTGTTCAGTTCTTCTAGGTAGTAAAGTTCATCTCTCTCCTTAACGAGTCCAATCTTCTTCCCCGGTCCCTGGTCCTGAAATAGTAACAAGTAGGGTTAAATAGGACTTGACAAATATGATCCCTAGTAAGTTTTTGCATATAGATTAGGTTTTTAGATAATTGAGGTACGTGGAGCATATTTTTTTAGAGAGGGGAGGGAAATAAGGGAATATCTCCTTGGCCTGCTACTATGATAAGAGAACCATCAACAGTGATGATTTTCTTATCACTCAGATAAAGAGTGCAGTTGATGAAGAGGGTAGTAGAGTGCGTCATATGATCTATGACTCTTGAGTCAATGATTCATACTCCTTTCAAATAATTTCTAGAGGCACTTAATCCAATAGATATAGGAAATTTACCTAAAAGTGAGACGAAAATGTAGGTGATTTTTCAAGTTATACTAAGAGTTGTTTTAGCTTATCAATATCTTCTTTGTTGAGCTCTCTAAAACTGGACTGTGTTTCTGAGATCAGCTGACTTTTTTTTTTTTTATCTGAGATGAGCTGACTTGTTGTAGTGTTAACATGAGATTTTCTCTTTTATCTACTTCTTTGATTCCTCTCATTACTTATGAGCTTTCCATGTAACTTCCAGCATGTCTCATTTATGTGTCTTGATTTCTTGAAATAGCTACATTAAAGGAAGCCTTTCCTTTGTCTTGAGGTTTTGAAAAATCCTTACCTCTTTCCTTCCATAATACCTCTTAGGCTATCACCATTGTTGAACCTTTAGCAATCTTTGGTTCCAGCATTCCGATGGTTCCAGCATTACGTCTTGTCGACTTTCCTCAGCACGAATGAGAGAAATGATCTCATTTAGTGAGGGTGTCTCCTCGTTGCCAAGAATCTAAACTATAACTTGGTCAAACACTGTATTTAATCCTGCAAGAAAATCATACACTTTATCTTTCTCAATAAAGCTTTTTAGGAAAGCCGCATCTTCTAGGCACTTGGTCTCTATGCATCTGTAGCTATCAAATTCTTGCCACAAGCTTTGAAGGAGAGTGGCATTGATGAGGACATCAGCAGAAGATTTCGATGCGTCTACCATCGAAGGAATCGTAGATCGACGGCTATGATTAAGAGTCTCTAATTATAATGCATTTTTGTATTTCTTTTATTTTTATTTCAGCTTTACCATTATACCCCTATGTGGGATTTCTTTTAAGTTGTAGCCCCGAGGGCATTTGAGCCTTTTATTTTTCTTTCATTGTGAGACCTATATATAGATGTCTTCACTATTGTATGGAGGTAATGACCGATTAAAAAAAAATCAGCTTTGGTTCATTGTCTTTGTGTTCATTGTCTTTTTCCCCTTCCTCTTTCCCTACCCTAAACCCCCTCCCCGATCCCTCCACCAAAAAACAAAAAAAAAAAAACTGGAATTTCGAGAGACCTCTTCCTAGTCTTGGCCGAAACCCACCAACACTCCGCCAATACCTCCCTACTCCCTTGCTACACACTCAATCCAAGGAGGAAGATACGCTACTATTGGGTCCCCTCCCCTCCATGGATGGCGGATCCCGAGCTTGACCACGGATTCGTCAACGACCATCAAGGCTTAGTGGATATTCTACAATTTTCTTTATTCGACCTCAATTTGAAAATTGACGACGCCGTCGATGAATACATCGACCACATCCTTTCACCTTTACGTCTGCTATTGAAGAACACCAACCCTCCGAACGTTGGCAAATCATCGGCCATCCACCAGCCTTCCCCTCCGCTAACTTTCCATTGATCAAGACCGTAAGCGTCCTCTTTCTTTTGGGGGCATCCCTAGGATTGTTGAAGTTATTCTTCCGCTAACCCCACTATCAAGAGTAAATGAGAGGGAAACTCGAAGGTGAATTTTCTATTTATTAAACGATGGATTTTTATTATTTTTCATCTTGTGTTATTATGAATTTTTATACTTATTTTAAATTATTCTATTAATCTTTTGTGTAATTGAATATCAAAGCATAATTGTAACTAAGATATCTTAGATTCTTATCTTGGTGAAACATTGAGTTTACAATTATCAAAGTTTCATAATTTGTTATTAATTTCTAAGCCATTCCTGTGTGGCTGTGTCCATATATGTTTCACATCAGGCATATTCAGTCACAGTCTTGCTTCCTTGTTTTGTGCTTCCCACCTTGACTTTAATTTCGAAGAATTGTGAAGCATTTCAAACTTTTGAGAAGGTTTATCTGGCAGCTTCCCATATGTCTTTTGCAGTAGATAGGAACATGAAAGTATCACTAATTTTCGGAGCATGGAATTCCACAACCATGACATAATCATGGAGGCTGCTTCATCCCAAACTAAAAAATTAGGATTTTTTCTTTTGGTCCTACCTCATGGAGGTGATTCATCTTTCCTTTTTCCTTTCAAATAATCCTTCACAAATTGAAACCACTTCAAATAATTCTTCCCATTTAAGTGATAGAAATGTTGCATATTTTGGAGATATCTCCCTTAGTGCACCATAGAGTCCTCCATTTGACCAAAGCTTTGGGAGGAAATTGCTTTAGACATTGCGGCGGCAAAGGGCATCGATGAAGGCTATATCAAGCATAGCAGTAATGAAGACTCCGTTGATTATAGATAGGATAACAACAAGGGAAGGCTGACAATGAACGCATGGCAGCACAAAAAATTCAAAATTCCTGCAACGAACACTTATAGCAGAATGATATGAACTAAAAAGATTTGAAAATTAAAGTTGATGATTGTCTAAACCACTTCTTAAGTAGTAAAAGCCCAAATAATTACATATTTTATTGTCATTTCTAGAAAATCTTTATTACAAATTTAATTCATAATGAAAACACTTATAGTAAAATGATCTGAACTAAAAAAAATTAAATTAAATTTGACAATAGTCGAAAACACTAATACGCAGCAAAAGCACAGTGAATTACATTATCAAAAAAAAAATTCATACACATTTAATATATAGTGTAAAAACATTACTAGCATGAATTGAAGTAGCAAAAACTAATTTTATTACAATTAATTTAATAAAAACAAGCGGAATTTGAAACTTTTCCTTACAATCAAAATTTGTATACATAGTCGAACCCCGCCAGGTAGAGATGTAAAACGGGTCGACGGGTCGGGTTTGGATAGAACCCAAGTTAACCCGAGTCTAAATGGGTCAACCCGAACCCAACCAATTTTTCAAATGGGTCACGTATTTCAACCCGGACCCGACCCGTGCGGGTCACCAGGTTGACCCGCAACAACTCGCGGACCTGTTTGATTCAAAAAATGGGCAATTGTAACGTCAAGCTAGGCGACACGGTGACAGGCAGTGCCTGTGCGTCCTACGGGTATGGGGTTGTCGTCGAGCGCGAATGAGTTAGACAGACTAGAATCGACGCGGGCATTTAGAGGACCAGACAATGGTAAGGGAGTCGAGAGGACCGGACGCCACCAGACGGACTGGACTAGACGAGCTGACGTGGTACGAGAGTCTAGAGCTACGCGAGTAGATGCTAACGACTAGATGGACTGCGGGACTGAACTGTGGACTAGACGTCACCGGACGGATTGCACTAGACGCGGACGACCAGACGGACTGGACTAGACGTTCACGCACCAGACACGCTGACATAACACTCTAACTGGGCAGCCATTTTGCATACATGTTAACCCGAGTTGATTTCAGGTTTTCGGGTCAACCCGACCTGATTTTGCATACAGGTCAAAAACTTGAACCCAACCCAACCCATATGGTAAATGGGTTGACCGAACCACAAATTTTTTGGGTTGGGTCAGGGTCCGGTTTCGGGTCATCTTAGATTTTGACACCCCTACCGCCAGGGAGAACTACCATTCGGACCCGCGACATATTCCCTAAGTATACATAAAACAAAGCTACTATTCCTTCAGGTTGCAGCTCTTTCAACTTCAATTCTTCTTCTCTTAGCGTTTGCATACTGCCCCTTGAGATTTTGCTTTCTATCGGCATACCCTCTACTCCAATAATGAACGTCCTCCTCCAAATCATTCATCATCTTCATCAACTCTTCCTCGTTATTTTTTCTCAGCAAATATCAAAATTTTATTGAGCTAAAATCCTATGTATTGTGGAGCTTTCGCGGTTATTTTCACTTAAAAAAAGCGTCAACCCAAAAACCTAAATTTGAACGGGATGTTGAACCTTTGGTTCGGGTCGATCGGATCAATAAAATAAAAATTAAAATGAAATCCAATTTAAATATCCACGTCTACACTCCACGTGTCATGATTTAATTGGAGTCCGGATATAGAGCTACGTCCGGACTCTGCAAAGAATAATTTCTTCCCACATTGTTGGATAGAGGCTTGATGTTGTTATTTAAGTGCTCAATGCTGTAATATCTCCACCTACCTAGCCTTCCAATATGGAGTACAACTTCCATTTTACTTCATGAGGTTTCCCTTTGATCTCAACTTCCTTCAATGGTGACAATGTGGATGATTGACCTCATGCTTCTTCTCTTCTAGTGTCTCTTCGTGATGTCGCGTGCCACCCATCTTTTGGTCCCACGAATGTTGTTGGTCCATTAGCTTTTGCTTTCAAGCTTAATCATGTTGCAGCTACTCCTACGAAGTCTGACTCACATTTTTCTTTTATTGAGGTTTGCTATGGGTAAGGAATCTCTGCAATAGGGTCTATATGCTTGTTTTCCTCTATCTTTAAACACGGCGAATTTTGCTAAAGCTCAAGTAACACAATTTATCTTGTCAAGCGCTCATCTTTGCTAAGGCTGAAATTTTGTATTTAGCATCACCATTTTTGTACACTTTGGCTAGTAAATTTGCCTTTGGCAGCCCAAATTTGGAGATTATTCATAACTTTATGTTTGATTTGCATATGATGGTTAATTTCTCTAGCTTAGCAAACAATCCTTGAAAGAATATTTCATCTTATTGCTCATATTATGTGAATAGACTTATGATGCATATATTGAAGTGTATCTTTATAGTTTGATACCTTTGAAGAGCCTGTTATTACGCCTAAGATTTGATACTAGAAAGAAAATTGTAGATTGGTTGATCCTAGTGTAGAACTACTATGTTTTCCCTCATCTAATATTAACATCATCAATCTAAATTTTTTTCTCATCAGGATCAATTCTTAGAAAACCAATACAATTAGATGATGCTACTGCCAGACTCTTCCAATCATATCTGGCCTGTGTTATTATTGAAATAGAAATTTGACAGTTTGCCTGCATATTGTTAGTCTTGCCAAACCTTTAGTAATGAATATGCTGATTATTTCAAGGCTCATCCGAAATTATGAAATTCACCTTACAAGTCCCTATTTATTAATCATAGTTCTATTTAGTATGGTTTAGGCATGCAAGATTTTCATGTAGTTGATAGTAATGATTAATTTAAATTTTCCAACTTATTGGAAGTTGTTCTCTCAATTTTGCCCCCATGAAATGTTCTCATGCTCCAGAATCTACTAAGCCTCCTGATTGAATATGTGTTTTCCTGAGCTGCAGTTAGTTTGTAGAATGCCAGCAGCCCCCCATTCCCACATCTCCAACATCTTCAAATATGACTGTTGGATCTACTGATACTTCAAGATTCATGTTTGGGAAAGCTATATTATATATATTTAAATATAAATAATAATAAAAAAAATGTTTGGGAAAGCTATCTTTCAACATTGAAGAATCCTCAGTTATCATTTCATTCTTCACTACGATGTTATTATTGTGTTCCCATTGATAGGCATGGTTGCTCTAATATGGAAATGGTTGATGCTTCAAGCTTAGTTCAATCCCAAGTTTCAACCCAAAGTTATTGATTTAGGCTTCGTTTGGGACGGCTTTTTACTGCTTCTTAAAATAACTTTTTAGTACAAAAGTTGCTTTAAGAAGCAGCAAAAAAGCCGTCCCAAATGAAGCCTTAGTGGATAAAAAATTTCAGCTTTTGGTTTTTTGCCAATGCACGAATAGAAAAAAAAAACTTCTTTCTCCAAATTTTATCAGATTTCAATATGGATGCAATAAGGCTTCTAATGAATATGGCGTTCTTACTAATCAGGTGCCTGAAAATAAGCTTTTACCCTATTTTTAGACAAAAATTACTCACTCAACTCTATGTTATCTTGATCCGATGTGTTTTATTTCTTTTCTATCCGTAGGTAATTCTTCTCAACTACTTCTTCCTGCATTTTTTTTTTCTCTGATAGTTAAGAAAAATTTATCACTTTACAAAACAAAAGGTTCTAAGTTCGATTCATGCCACAAAGGACATTATTTTAGATTATTGTCATTCAATCCAGAAGAACCTCTTCAGTTAGTTTCATGGGAATAATATCAACTAATGGAATGGCACTATAAATCTTTTCTTCTCAGAAGGTTGATATGTAGAAGAAATAGAGGCTTGAAGATTAAAATCACAAGCCAATGGAAACATCCAGAATGTATCATCACAAAGGGAAAAACACATGCCATTGTAGCATTAATGTATAAACCATTTCATACTAGTTACCTTGCTGGTTGAATATCAGGGAATGAGACAGGACGACATTGGTCATCATCGGATAGAGAATTGCAGTTGCTATGAATCCAAGGGAATATCGTCCACTGATTGGCTGCTTGAGTTCTAATATTATAATTAGATTGGATAAGAATAAGAAAACAGCTAAAAAATTATATGACTTTAAATTTGAATCAAGCAAATGAAATATAAAGGAATTGATCACCCAAAGAAAACAGAGTATCTGACTTAACTGGTTGAGGATGAAACTCGAGCAGATCATCATGTAATAAGAAAACTCATTGCCCTGACTCACAAAGCCTGTTTGGCGGAAAAAAAAGCGGTAATTATGAGACAAATTAATAGGAAAAACCTAATATCAGCTTTATCTTTCTAAATACCTAGGCAAGAAATCTCCAAAGCCAGTCTTCCAAGTCCAGCACCAGGTACCAAACAACTGGGAGGTCTACAAAGAGCAGGAACAAATTTCGGCAAGTTCAGCACCACAAAGCATATTCTTTAACTTTCTTTGATGCCACGACTTTGTAAGATGTTTGTGAAAATTTAAGGCAGCAAAAGTAAAAAAAATGAACAAAATAAAGATGATTTTACAGTCTATACCTAATTGTTTCACAATGTGATGATTAAAGAATGTTAATAGAACAAACACATAGAAAATGCATCTCCAACTTATGCTAATTCCGCAGAGGAAATTGTCAATATAGAACTCACTCAAGTGCTTTCACACTGCATTTTTTTCCTTTGTTTTTTCTTTCAAATTTTGTTCATTGATCACATATTCAGTAGTAATAAATAATTATATATTGTTATCAATACCTAGTAAAATCGGTACTAGATTCACAAAATATCATTAAATGACATGAGACCACAAATAACAGCATTAAAATTAGAATAAGCATCTAGTTACACCATGCATGCCCACATATACATGCTGTTCACACAGTAATGACCACAACAGAATACGACTCCATTGTGGGTTTTAGTTGTGACAAACAGCAGTAATTTCTCCATGGATAACTTACCAATATTATTCAAAATTAAGAATATACACTCTCTCTCTGACACAGCAAATACATCTTATAAGCAGTGTTTTAAAAAGGCAAAAAGTGGCATTTGGGTTGGGGAAATTGGATGTGAGACAGACGCCCCAAGAGTTGGGGTGCTGCCCCCGCCCAAGACATATGAAGTACATTTTTTAAACTCAAAGATTAAATTTCAATGATAAGAACGTGAACCTACTGTCAAATAAGTCAGCCAAAGAGTCATTTAAGTTTGAGAGCCCCCCAAGTGTATGCTTTCTTGGAATCACTTTTTGTTTTATTTTTAAAATACTTAAAATAAGTTGTGTTTTTTATTTTTAAAAACAAGTTATTTTCCAAACAACTCCTTAATCTCTTCACCTTCTTTCCAACATCTGGTACCCTCCCGTCCCACCCGCAAGTCAATGGCAGCTAAAAGCTCCCCAGCCCCTTTTACATGCACTACAACACCCCACCACTGACCTCTATTTCCTCACCAAGCGACCCATCACCTCGACAACCTCTCTTCACTCACCCCGCTCATTATCATCTTTGATTGCTAATACCATGCCCCAAAGCATCATCTCTTATGATCACGCCTAGTCCACCCTCCTCAAAACAACCTAAATCAGGTGCTACCTCAACAAATCTTCTCCAAAGTAGATCCATGGCTAGCTGAGCACGACAACATAGGGCACATTGGCAACAAAACTAACAAACTTTTTCCATCAAGTTAATGGCATTGATCAACCTTTTCGTCTGGAGTGTTTGTGGGCTCTAAACAAAAAAATACAAGCCCTCAGGCTATCATACAATTTTTTTCTTATAAAAATATAAATAAAATACAACAACAACAACAACATCAAGCCTTTGTCCCACTACGTGGGGTCGGCAACATGAATCCTTTTTCTCCATTGTGTTCTGTTAAAAGTCAAATTCTTGTTTAAATCTAATAAAGAAATATTACTTCTAACAATTTCTAACCAAGTATTTTTATGTTTATCTCTACCTTTCTTAACATAAGTCAAGTCTAATACCTCTGCTTTCCTAACCGGGTCATCAGAAGGCCGTCGTTTTATGTGACCAAACCATCTAAAGCGACTCTCTCTAATCTTATTTTTCACTTGAGCTACTCCAACCTTCTCACATATATGCTCATTTCGTATCCTATCACTAAGGGTAAAGCCACTCATCCACCTGATTATACTCATCTCTGCAACACTTAACTTAGTATTATGCTTCTCTTTTAATGGTCAACATTTGGCACCATAAAGTATTGCAGGACTAACCACTGTCATATAGAATTTTCCCTTAAGTTAGAGGGGGACTTTTCTATCACACAACAAAGCCCAATGAATTCCTCCATTTCAACCATCCAACGTGAATTCTGCTGATAATTTTCCCATCTATTTCACCATCACTCTGAACAATATATCCAAGATATCTAAAACGTGTACTCTTATTAATGACTTGAACGCCCAAAGTCACAACCCCCTCACTAAGTCTATTACTACTAAAATTACACTCCATATATTTAGTTTTAGATCTACTCTGGCGAAAACCTTTAGACTCTAAGGTTGACCGCCGTAATTCAAGTTTACCATCAACTCCCTCTCTAGTTTTATCAACAAGAAGAATATAATCAATAAAATGCATACACCAAGGTACATCCTCTTGCAAATGTCTAGTGAGAACATCCATGACTAAAGCAAAAAAGATATTGGCTTAAGGCTGATCCTTGATGTAATCCAACCAAAATAGGAAAATACTTGGTCAAGCCACCTTGTGTTTGAACACAACTAATAGCTACTACATAAATATCTTTAATAATTTGAATATAAGATTTATTAACTACTTTCTTTTCAAGAACTCTCCATAGCACTTCTCTTGGAACTTTATCAAATGCTTTCTCTAAATCAATAAATATCATATGTAGATCCTCCTTATTTTCTAAATTTCTCCATCAAACCTCTCAATAAATGTCTGGCTTCCATAGTAAACCTACCCGGCATGAATCCAAATTGATTTTGAGAAACATTAGTATCACGCCGCAACTTATGCTCCATAACTCACATAGTTTTAAAGTATGAAACATTAACTTAATTCCTCTATAATTCGCACAATCTTGTGCATCACCTTTATTCTTAAAAATATGAATTAACACACCATTCTCCACTCATCTGGCATCTTTTTAGTCTTCAAAACACTATTAAAAAGTTTAGTAAGCCAAAAATTTTTTAATCTCCTAAGCATTTCCACACCTCTATTGGAACATCATCAGGTCTAACAGCTTTTCCACACTTCATTTTCTTTAAAGCCTCTCTAACTTTGATTTTACTAATACGTTTATAAAAACATAAATATTTATTTTCAGTAGGGTGCTAAGGTCACTAAAGCAAAATATCACATCCGCCTACGTTGAATATCATCTTCTAAGAAAAGTACTTTTTTATATTCATTCTTAATACACTTCACTTGAACTAGATCATTACTACTCATGTCTCTTTGAATGGCTAACTTATACATGTATCTTTCTCCCTCCTTAATATCTAATCTATTAGATAAATCATTAAAAGCTAAAATCTTTGCATCGTATATTATTTTCTTAGATTCTTTACTTGCCTCTTTATATTTATCCTAATTATCATAATTTTTTACATCTAAACTAATTTTTAAAACAAATCTTTTTTTTTCTTTTTCTCATACATTTGGATTCCACCACCAACTCTTTTTAGTACTAGGAGCTTTTCCCTTTGATACTCCTAGCACATCTTTAACAATATTCTTAATATCAATAGCCACTTTTTCCCACATAATATTAGCATTCTCATGCACAGACAAAATCTCAAGATCTAAAATCTTACTTTCAAAAATATTTTTGTTAATATTATTTAAATGCCACCATCTAACCCTAGAATATCATTTAACTTTATTTTTTATTTTCTCGACTTTTATTTTAAAGTCCAAAACTAATAATCAATGTTGGGTACATAAATTTTCACTCGGAATAACTTTACAATCTAAACGATCTAATTTTCTTATAAGAAAATAATCAATATGAGTTTTACTATATCCATTTTTATAAGTGATGAGATGGTCATCTCTTTTCTTAAATAAACTATTAGTAATTAAAAAATCATAAGCAAAAGAAAAATCTAATATGGTCTTACCACCTTCATTTGTCGTTCCAAACCCATGGCCACCATGCATACTTTTAAAATTATTTGCCTCTCTACCAACATGTCCATTTAAATCTTCTCCAATAAAAACTCTTTCTTCAAGAGGTATCATTTGTGTTAATTCTTCTAAGTCATTCCAAAATTTTAATTTTGAACCCATATCTAAACCTACATGAGGAACATAAGCACTTATAATATTAACAATCTTAGCATCAACAATAATCTTTAAGGCTATAATTCTAGTTATCTCCCATTACAATCTTTAAAGCTAAAATAAATATTAAAAAAACAAAAAAAAGACTCCAAACAAAACTAATGTAGTTTTTTATCCTTCAATCTCAAAAAATGGCCTACTTGAAATTGAAAATGGCCTCTTTGTCGATTTTCAACCCAGATCTCTAGATAAATTGCTGAACTTGTAGCCAATCTTTCCTCCGCCAAACATTAAAGTTATTTCCATTAGTTTCCTTTATATTGATCATTGAATCCACCATGGGTGTCCTATCTGCCAATTGCTAGAAACTAGGTGACTGATAAAGGAATTAAGACATAGATGAAGTGAAGTTTATTCCTAAAATTTAATTTGTAACCCCTCTACTTGCATCTACATTCAACTTGGATGCCTCAATTAGATAACATGTTTAAGATAAGAAGAGTAAAAAAGAGTGAATAATTAATTGGCTTGTTTGTTTAATTTTCATCTAATTTACTTTACTTTAAATGCTAACGTTAACTACGGAATATGATTATGAAATGTCATCAACTGCATTATGCATGCATATTCTATGAAAAAAAAAACTCTGTTTTCATTCTGGTTTTTTATTTAACTAGAATTTTAGTTTAACTAGTTCTTTATACACTTGTTTTTTAGTCATATTTTTAAACTTACAGAATATTAAAATTAAAAATCATAGGGCCTACGCTCCTCCTGTACCATGCCTCCTTTAGGTTTTTTCCTTCGAAGAAATTGCTTATATGTTTTGAATACTGTCACTTCTCTAAAAGAAACATCAATTTAAATCAGCATGATTGCTCATACATCAATTTTATAATTCTATCGTGTGGTTATGCTTTTTTAAGTTGACATCTTTATTTAAGTATAGAGAAAAAATAGATTGTTTTTTATTAAAAATATATACTCTCAGATAAATAAATAATTTAATTAGCCTTTCTTAGCCAATCACAAAACTTGATTTATCTAAAACAGAATCTATTTCTTTGTAGTGCAAACCAACTTATTTTCTCTAAAACAACTTATAAGCACACTTCTACAAAAAGAATTCTACGGGAACCAAAAGAACTATCCTTCCAGAAACATGCCATATCAACATTCAAAAACATGATCAAATTAGAACTTGCTCTCTTTGAAAGCTCATTTTGAAGATTTATTTGAAATGCAGCAACTAGCAGCCTAGGGCCTCAATATAGGGAGCTAATTGCAAGCGACCCATTAAGAATACTTTTAGTAATGGTATATATTCATAGAATCAGTACCTTTCCTTGCGTCGAACAGGAAAAAGGCGATTAAGCTCTTCAAGAATAGGCTTATAACATTGATCACGCTCCTTTTGACCCTATAGTAACAGGATATGCCAATCATTTGAAATATAAAGGAATCAAGGAACATTCCACATGAAAAACAAATAAGTAATAAGGGAGCATGAAAAGAATAATGTACCTCCATTGCCCAATCTCTCACAATGTTCCGAATAATACATCGTACCTGAAAACAAGTTCTTATTAATTTGGAATTCACAAGTATTGTGCAGGCTCTTGATTTTCTACAAAATAGAAGATAAATAATTAAAACATTCTGGAAAAAAATGAAGTAGTCGAACAATAAAATTGAGTGTATCTTAAGTATAAATGCCTAACTAAAAAATGATTGGTTGCTAGGTTTGATGGAACATTGATGGAGGTGAAATGATTTTTCTACATTGATGCGGTTTGACTGATCACATTGATGAAGCCCTATTGAAAGAGATACCATTTTGGAGGTTGATTTTCTTCCAACTAAGGATCAACTTATCTAGAAATTCATCATTAAGAGGTGAATCAATGAGAAAATGATTGGTTGCTAGGAAATTGATCAGGTCCTGCCCGTACATAACCTTTTGTGAAGCATATATAATGTCAAACTAAAAAGCAATAACACTACCCGCCTACCAAAAAGAACAATTAGAGTGGGCCTAATCATTAAAATTTAAGTTGGTCCACTTTAAATATTAAAATTAGTTTTTGAACCAACATATAAAGACAAAGCTTTGCGTAGCAAATATTAATGTCAGGCATTGTTTTTCAATGATAAGTGCTTTAATTCGACCCCTCTTCACCATCGACTAATCTAATAGAGGATTATTTATTCCCCATCTTCATTACATTGAGCAAGAAATTCCCCTAACGACTCATCCCATGCCGTCCCATTCAAAATTAGTTTCTTTCCCAAAATCAAAACTACAATAATTGGGAGATGCAATAAATATTGCTTTATGAAATCAAAAGCTCACGGACAATTATTTTTACATATGACAAAGGCATCCTTTTTAATCAACTAGGCAAAGGGTTGATACCTACTCAGGAGGTTGGAGATGACCCTCCATATATATGCCAACCTCCCACAAATAGAGTGAAGCTACTTAAAATATTTTTTTCGTTGTGGCATTTTGACAATTGATTTCATTTTAATGAGGTCTACTTCGATACCACTATAGCATACAACACAACAAAAACAACAACATACGTAAGGTATCAATTACATGAAGTATTTTTTTTCATTATGCCATATTAAGAGTCAATTTCTCATCTAAATCTGATAAAAATTAATATTTTCTAACCAAATCTTTTTAGGTCTACCTCTATCTTTATTAGCATAGGCCGACTTTAATACATCTACTCTCCTAACAAAGTCATTGGAAGGTCAATATTTTATGTGACCAAATCATCCAATGTGACTCTCTAATATCATCTGCCACGGAGCTACTCCAACCTTTCCACATATGCACTCATTTCGAATTTGTCACTAATTGTAAAACCACTCATCCAATCGAGCATCCTCATATCTACAATACTTAATTTAGTTTTATGTTTGTCTTTTAATGGACAACATTCTGCACCATAAAGCATTATAGGTCTTAACACCATCTTATAAAATTATCCCTTTAATTTTAGGTGTACTTTTCTATAACATAACTGGCCCGATGCATTCCTCTACTTCAACCATCCAGCTTGAATTCTACTAATAATATACCCATCTATTTCACCATCGTTTTGAACAATAGACCCGAGATATCTAAACGTGCACCATTCTTAATGACTTGATCATCCAATGTCACAATCTCACTACTAGATCTATTGCAACTAAAATTACACTCCATGTGTTCAATTTTAGATCTACTCAAACAAAAAAAATTTAACTCTAAGATTGACCTCCATAATTCAAGTTTTTCTTCAACTCCCTCTCTGCACTTATCAATAAGAAAAATATCATCAGCAAAAAGCATAAACAAAGGCACATTATCTTATAAATGTCTAGTAAGAACATCCATGACTAAAGCAAAAAAGATATAGGCTTAAAGTTGATCCTTGATCTAATCCAACTAAAATAGGAAAAATACTTGGCCAAACCACCTTTTGTTTGAGCACAAGTAATAGCTCATGTATACAAATCCTTATTGACTTGCATATAACTCCTTTTTATTCTATAACTCTCCAGAGCACTTCTCTTGAAACTTTATCATGTGCTTTCTCTATATTAATAAATATCAAAATTTTCCATATGAAATACCAAAAATGCATTTCAACGAATTCATTTTTAGATTGAATTTTGTAATTCTTACAAACAAAAAACTAAGATCATTTATGATCAAGGTGGTTCAACTTTATAAGAAGTGATCGACATGACAATCTACTTATTTATGTACAACACTATAAGTTCATCAATGACATCATGGTTCTTTGTAATGTAATTCAACATTTTTCAAATCAAAAGTCATCGCCATGCAAAAGTAGATACCTATAAGAGTGCGGAGGATGTGTTTATCGTCTTTGGAAGATATCAAGATTTAGTTATAGCCTGATAACCCATACATAAAGGAGCATATCATGGTTCAATCTATTGTCAATCATGAGTTATGCCTTGGATAGTGAGAAGTTATCATTTGGGAAGGCTTTATCTCGATCCTAAAAATCTACAAAAACACAAATTTGGCCATTTTTCTCCTTCATTAGGAAGCAAAGCCCTACATGGGATCCTGGTTGGGTACCCATTGAATACCCACGCTTATGGGAAGGCTTTACCCACCCACACTCACCTATGGTGACTTTCCGGATGTCATACCCACCCACACCCACCCACTTTCCACGCTTATCGAATGCAGCCTACCCATAGAATAATGGCCTTGAGATTTTTTGTCATTTTCTCTGACTGTAAACTTTCAAGCCACTTACCAAATTTATCATGGTCGTGACGCGGTTCAGTGTTGCGCACTGCGTAGTAAGGATTATTATAATATATTGCATGTATATGATGATTAGTAATATAAACCAGTTCTCCTCTGATGTTGAGTACCCACCCACAAGGCTATGGGCGTACCCATACCCACCCATGCCCATTGGATATGGGTGGGTACGTGGGTGGGTGTGGGTATGGGTACCCAATGCAGGGCTCTGTTAGGAAGACATTTTTTCATCTTGAATGAATCCAACTTTGATAAGATTATTGGTTTCAAAAACTTAATATTTCTTAATTTGAAGTTTCATTCGCCGAATCACCTGGATAACAAGTGTCATCTTGGGTCTGATAGAGAGCTTGTGGATTGCTACATCTACAAATAAGCTTGACATTTTCGAAGTTCCAAGCAAAGCCATTCTTATTTTCAAGGAGAAATATTTTAGTTCTTATATCATCTCATATTAAAGAAGAACAATAATAAAAACAACATTATGATCACTCTCTATGCTCAAGTCAATTTCTCAAAGCACATCAATTGTAGCTTAATCGCCTTTTTCAAACTTTAGAAGCCTCTTTTAAATCAGCAATCACCTTCAAACTCATTCTTGGATCTAGAGGGACAAGCTTCATTGCCTGTAATGGAATACCATGCACTCCTTAAGAAGCATGAGGATTAAGCAAACCCGAAAACTCATGTGCAATTCTCATGTTCTGTTAGCGCCAAGGCAAGATTTCTTTGCCAAAGCCTTCTAAAATCACAAGATTGTTCGTTTGTATGTTTAAGAGGATTTTGCTTTTTAATGATGCATTATAGAGCAGGTCAGAAATATTAAGGGACCATTATTCTTGTCGCTTCTTTCAAACTGTATCTTTTTCATTCTTATTTGAGAATTGTGTGGGTTTCTAATTTTTAGGAAAAAAAAATTACATGCCTATCACGGCCCCTCATTACAGGAACACAAAAGGTTTTTAACTACTCTATATCGCAAGTTAAAAGCGAAATCAATGTTTCAGCATGAGTAGTTAACACAACTATTATTGCCATGCTGCTTTGAGAAATTTGAGTGTCAACCACCCTTACTAAGTAGATCGAGACTTTCTTTTTTATATAGTTAATAAGTTGGGCATTAGACATCCTTTATAATGGAGTCATGGGTGTTCCTCTAATTTAATAGAGAAGTAATTAGTTTTCTTCATTTTTGTGTCATTGCAAGTGGGGTAATCTTTTCAATTAATAGCAGAAAGCTTCACTAAATTACATTTCTTTGCTTCTTATTGCCCTTTGCCTTAAAATATCCCAAATAGACCAGGGTGAATGTATGTGTTTTTTTTAACATGCATATTTGATTTTATCAGAGAGCGTGTTAGCAAGGGAGTTGACTTGAGTATAGTATAGGTTGGAGCACATATCTTCATTGGAGGCCGGATTTTAATTAGAACAGACACATCTATGAAAAGACCAAATTTGATCAAATGGGTTTGTTGACAATGTGCTTACCTTAATTAATTGAGATGTGGCTCAGATTTGTCCCATTTGAAGGGGCTCATATACGGAACATCTCGAAATAATACATGGTGAAAGTTCGTTAGGGATGTTAAGCCCTATAAAACTGGCCCAAGCTAACCAAGGGGAGGGGGGGGAGGGTGAATTGGTATTTAAAAAAAAAATCTTTTCTCAAAGAACTAAAATCACATAAACCAAAATCACACCACAAAAAAAAATAAGTGCGGAAATTAAAGTGCGGAAGCAAGAAACAAGAACATAGAGATTTATAGTGGTTCGGTCAACTCGACCTACGTCCACTCCCCGGAGGCGCCCTCCGAGTATTGCACTACAATCGTGACTCTCCTTTAGCCCCCACAGCTAGGCGGAGAAACCTTTACAAAGAACCTCTTTTTGCCACCCCGGCAAGGCAGAGAACCTATCTCCTTTTGCTTCCTCCTGAAGCTGGCAAAGAACCACAATCAGATGTTGAATCCTTACCTCTACCGACCCTTCCACGGACGAGAAACTCTAGACGAAGAAGAAGCAGAGCGATCCTTGAAGCAACCCTTGTGAATCCCCTCACAAGCTCCCCCTCACAAGATCTTCTCTCTCTCCCTCTCTCTCTTTCTCTCCTCAAGGTCTTCTCAGGTCAAGGCAGCAGCAAAAGATTATTCAAAACATTGAACAAGAGCTCTTAAATAGAAAAGCTTCAAAGGAGCTCATTAATTGCAAGTTGCCGACTATATCGTCCAGGATGATATGGACATCATCCTGGCCGATCAGTACA